TGATATGTAAATTAAAAATTGTTATTTTACGGTGATAATCTTATTTTCTTGTGCCCAATAATGCATAATTTCATTTGATAAACACGTTTAGATTGAATGGTAATTTATAATCAGTCACAAGAACGTCGAATCTGAATCACTTGAAAAAAACACGGGGGTGCTTAACTTTTTTCCAGGTGTATATATTCAAATGTCTCCAACTAAGTCAAGGCAACTTATCATCATCCTGCTAGTAATACAACATGTTCTTCAAAGCAATTTATTGTGGTTACAGATTGCAGTTACAATGGCATATTAAACATATGGAGAGTCAAAAATAATGTGAAGGTAAGCTCTGCATACTATAAAGTTAAATGACAAAGTACCATCTTTGTATGGACTAGATGCCAGTAACACAAGGCTTCATCCAAACAATATATGGAGAGTCAAAAATAATATGAAGGCTAACTCTGCATACTATGAAATGACAAAATACCATCTTTGTATGGACTAGATGCCAGTAACACAAGGCTCCATCAAAACAATATAACTAATCACATGTTCAAGTCAACATGCCAGTTACTCTGTAAGATGCAAGCACAAACAAGAAATCATGTTACACAATTTACAAACATCTCTGATAGATCTTTCCATTGGTTAAACAGGCCATCAAAAGTTGTCACTTGAACATAACCAGGTTATTGCACAAAACATCATCAGCAGTGGAAAAAAAAAGAGCTGTAAGGCCCAAGTATTTATTCTTGTATTATTAATTATAACAACATGCTCATTGACAGACATTAATCCAAGGAAAGAAGAAAATATATATACGTTAAATATTTTAAGCTTTATATAACCAAATAGTTTCCCAAAATAAGCATTTGAATTATACAGCTATGTACCTTCTTCCCAATTCAAGCACAAATTACAAGTCATTTTGCCACAGTGTCAATTTGTTTACTTTGATATGCTTATGCCACATCATGTTCTATTTATAGTCTCAACAACTGCTAAAAACATTATATAAACATTAAAGAATAAATAAAAAAGTATGAATGAAATGTAAGGAAAACTTGCGATTACTTTGTTTTGAGAGTATATCTGATTCATGGCACTATATTTTTAGAGTCCCTATACAGGCTGTAATTTAAGTTTTCCAAGCAATCTCTAGACATATTGACAACAGAAGTGATTTTTAACCAGCCTATCACAACTCTGAGGCCAAGCTATCAAAATATCGCTGTTAAATACAAAATGACAATACAATCAACAATCTCCTAACACTAAGCATTATGATATACGAGTAGTTTGGATACCTACTGTACCTCAGAAATACCTGGGTGGTAAATCACAAACATGAACACAAATTTATCAGTATTTAATTATGGCATAGTCCCCAGTGTATGGTGTTTTCTGATTGGATCAAGATGTACAGAGGTGCAATCCAAAGGAACATAATGTTACAAACTAATCTAAACAATCCCTAGATGATCAATGAGTAGATGAAATGACCTCAGCAAGCAAAGGAACACAACACAGCAGATTCTTAGATTTAAAATTGTTTATTTTCCCAAAATTTTTTTTGTATATTTCCAGTATTTTTTTAAAAAAATTCTCAAATATTTTCTGATTTCAATAATGAATGAGAATCTGAATAAGTACAGAACATTGTTAAGGTTGTAGGTCCCTCTGGTACCTGAGAGCTTGACCTCTATGTTTTCATGTAGAAAGGCTTGTCAAGGCTAAAGACTTAATTCCTTCTGATACTAAATAGTTTGACTTCTACATCCTTAAGTACAAAAACACATTTATGAAGAAAAATTAGTAGCCTAAATATTTCACATACTTCATTATTCTTGATTGAAACGTAACTGAAACAGCTGTGTTTCAGACTACTGAAATCTCCTTCACTTGGATCTTAACGTTCTCTTCTGGTATTATAAGATCTAAACCATAAGGACCAGAAGCAAATTTACAATATAAAATACTACAGCCTTCCTTCATGACAACCAGAACATATATATGTGCATGTGATTGTTACTATTTATGCAAAAATTGAAAGACTAAAGAAAATGTTGATAAACCTACCATACATATCATTGAGATTCTTAGGGCCTGTAATATATTCAAGGTTGTTATAATGATGAGAAAGAATAAAATTCTGCTCATTCTCACTGGATATTTGAAAAGGTAACCAGGATTCTAAAGTTCTGGAATTGGGATTTGTATTCTGGATCCGATAGCCATCGCTTTTATTCATCACCACTGAAACACACAGTAAAATAAACATCAATTATAGAGCAGACTTCATTTGCATCAGGTGAAGCATAAAGCACTCTTTTACAACAAAAAGAGATTAATGCACTATCTACACGACAGAAGAAAATTCATTCTGTTTAATATTCTTAAAAACCTTTACTGTTTCACTCCACTTTCCTGTATTATCAGTTAAAATTAGTAAATGTATGCTTAGCAATGGTAAGGACATAACTGAAAACCACAAAACATATTAAGTCTAAGCTCTCACTTCATGTAATATAAAACAAAAACTATACAACTGGAACATTACTCTTACTTAAGAATTAAATAGAGAAAAATGTTTAAAAAAAAAGCATTTAAAGTGGATAGAACTCTTCTGAGGATGTTTACAGACATTATTGCAATTTGAAAAAATAACTTATGCCATAGACATTATGCCAAAAGTTACTAGCAGGTGTTATGTTTTGGCCTTGGGTGTACATTAGACACAACTAGATTAATCACCTAACTTGCATATAACAGATACGTTTTTAAGAATGCACAGAAACTTTTTATAGGGGATTTATGCATGCAAGTCTCCCTACCAATGATAATTAACCCACAAGTATATGTATTAGAATTCAACTGGGCATGTATGCCTATTAGTAGTATTAGTAGTGAAAATGTGCCACCAAAATGAAGAAGTGTACAGTTTCTACTCACAAATATTTGTTTATGGCAAACTCTATAGGTTTTAGCAGAATATAATTTTATAGATGCTTTCCTTATAATTTTTCACGACTCTTATTCCTTACATTTCATCCTAAATTCATATAATTGCAGATCACTCACTTTAATGCTTTCATTTCACTCAATTTAGCACCAGTTTTGAAACCCATCTTTCACATTTTTGATTATATTCATCACAAAGATCAAATTTTAATAAAGGATTAAGCTAATTTAGCAACTTTTACATCATCCTTCTTCAAGTAAATGGTTGTAACATCTCCAACCATGTTTTTAAGATCTGAACAAATACATAGTGCTTGTGGTTTAGCAGTCTGAAAAGTGGTTACTGATGGAATGCATTTCTTTTACAATGAATAAAAGTTTGGCAAGAATTAGTTTATCACTACAACATTGTTTAATAGTGTTAATGAGACTTAGACATAGTATCAGAAATCTTTTTTCGTGTATTGCTTTTACACATTTGATTAAATCTGGTAACATATTCTGGGTACACTCAACAATTGGATAATTCTCTAACCACCTACGTATGGTTGTAGAATTTTAAAATAAAAAATGTCTTTAGCTGTCTTTGAGTAATCTTTCACATTACAGAGCTATAATACAAACTGTTTAATAGGCTGTCAATTTCCCAATACCTTGCTTATAAGGATCTTAACATGCTTCATGTACAGTTGGAATCCAAAATTTTCAACAAAATGATATACAGGTCTAGTTCTGTGTCTAACAGGTTATAAAATTTCCAGTAGCTTTCAAGCCATCTATATAAATTGTTACCATTTTACTGACAGCAAGACCTTTCACTGTCTCATGACAATAGTAGACCAAATCACTATAAATAGCATACACAAGAGAATGTGTCAGTTGCTGTATTTAGTATTTGTGTGCAATACATTAGTAAATGAACACTTTATAGGCACATTTTAATAATAAACAATCATAAAATGCAGTACACTCAGAAAATTTCTACTTCAGTATTTGATCACAATATTTTTTCAAATAAACTAAAATAAAGAACTACAAGGAATAAAATAAAAAAACTTAACTTCTGCCATTTTCAGAAAAAAAACAAAAACAGATGTAATTGCTTTTAAAAACTTTTGCAAGAAAAAAATTTTTTTTCAAGAGCTTTTACATCCTTATATTCTGACAAATGAAATTAAAGAACAAATTTTCTAAGGACCCATAACAAACCCTAGAAATGCAATCCAATGATTTTTAGACTTTACACTTTTTCCAAACCACTGCCAATTTGTACTTTATTAAATTTGTCTTTCTCAAGCTAATACTACTACAAACATGTATGCTAGTGATGTTTTTTCCAAAATAATACTGACTTTTACACAAGTTTGTTAGTGGTTGTAAGCCTTTTTTGTGTGTTTGCATTCAAATGATTGTTTGCCTTTTCCAAACAACTGACACCTATGTTTTTCATACTAATTTTTTGTTACAAAGATATACATCTTTTTAAACCTAGTTCTTATTGATTCCAATAGTAGTTAGCAAATACATAAAATTACTTTATAAATAATAGAAAAGGATAATATCCTTAACAAAATCAAAGATTTGTGTAGAAAAAGAATAAAGATTTTATTTGTGATACTCTTTAGTAGAGCATTTAAATAATTTAGGCAACATTTTACTTTTCTGTAGTATGTTGAACATTTCTATTGCCCAATTTATTTCTGAGAGTTTTATGATTATTTGAAACTAGGTACACAAATAAAATTCAAAAAATGAGTTAGTCAGTAAATGGTAGATAATAAAAATAAATTCTAAGTGAGAGTCTTGTCACTGATTATTAAAAGACTTCAAATCAACGTATCATTGTAGAGTATAAAAAACATTTGATTAAATAATTAATTAATTAATTAACCCATTTTATATTACATTGTTTTCTTAATCCTTAACACTAACAGACTGACCATGTTCATTGCTATCATGTTCTTCAGAAACAAGTGAAGACCGATGGAAAGTAGAATGAAGACAACGCCGTGACATGTTAGGGCTTTCATAACTGTCTGTACTTCCAGAACTACAATAGCTAGCACTGTTTGAAATACAAAACTCATAAGAGCTCATACAAATACAAGAAGCTTATTGAAGTACAAAATCTTATAGCCAAACAAACAGAAAATAATTCATGGGAAAACACTTATAGTAATAATAATAAAAATAATAATGAACAATGAATCCAACAAAATACTTTTGGAAAGTAAAACAATACTGAAAACATGAAGAACCAACTGAAACACACACACACAATTTACTGTACAGAAGGGTATGAAGAAATATTAGATCCTATTGGATTTTAATGTTACTTTCTGAAATCTACTATAAATGTAGTTAATATGATGAATGATTTAAAAGAAAACATGAATATTTTTTCCCTAGGGATTTAAAAAATTTTTGAGGTCACTGAAGGTTACTACCCAATAATCTATACTGACAGCAGACATCGCTTTTGTTATGGCTATGCAAAACATTTGAATGTGGCATAACCAAACAAATATTATGCCCCATATGACAAACACAAATTGCCAGTATACAAGATAACTGTGTTTAGTGCCCCTAAAACCAACTTAGTAAAGCATTTCATATAAAGTAGTTCCTCTTAGATACAACTGACCTATCTGCCATGATAAAAAATTCACATCTGACAGAAAGTCGTTATTCAAAGGATCAATAACCAGATCACAAATGACCAAGTTCAAGCTGTGCCAGTTGCTATTCCCAGGGGTTGAGCATAATGATTTATATACTTTATAGGTAGTCGGATAACGTAGCAAGTTGGTACACTGTATAATAATAATAATAGTTATGATGGATAACAGTTCAATAAAAATAACTTAAATTGTTTTTTGTGTTTTATGTAAAATAATTTATTCACCGATCACATTTATTTCATAAACATCCACATATCACATTTTTATTACAAATACATAAAATATTACAAACTGACAAAATTTATTTCATAAAACATCATCCATCTTTGTTTGTTCAGCACACTTAATGGAGTCACTTTGAATGTTCATGAGTGTGGCAATTATTATATCAAGAAGCATTTCATTGTTAGTTTTCAATGCACAATTTTAGTATCAATTTATAAAATAACGTGCAAAAATGTCCAGAATTCTACATCAGAGAAATTGGAAGAAAACTGGAAACCAGATTCACTGAACATAATAAAAAAACATCCCATACTTGTATTCACCACCATTGCAACTCAAAAAATCCAAAGTATATCTATACAAAACGCTAAAATTTTAAACAAAGAACCAAACATCAGAAGCTATGAACAAAACAGTCTCACCCTATATCAAAATTTCACATTGAAACTCAGATCCTTTGATTCCAGCTCTGAAAAGGGACCATTCCACAAATTTAAAAGAACTAGTAAAAAAATAAGAATAAATATCTGAACTAAATTATTACTAGACTCTAGCCAATACATAATAAGGTAATCCTCTCTGAATACAAATACTACATAAAATGTAATATCTTGCATTAAAACAACTTCACGTTAACTAAAAATTCTCTAATTTCATGTCTTGTTGCTTTCATCACAACTTTGGTCTATATCAACATCCATGTCACGTTTAAATATCAACACAATTTGAGCCTAGTGATTCTACACAGCAACTTCCTGTTCTTGGCTTTCCCAGATGCCTTGAGGCATTTCATTAGTCATGCTTACCACACAGATTAGTCAAGTCTGTCACTCAACAAACCGTGAGTAAATAATCTTCACACCCCACTAGTAAATACTAATCAAGTTACTTAACGTCTAGGCCACTAACTCAAAATCTACTACATTCACTGAAAGAATAAACCTTAATTCTGCAAGTGGGGGAAAGAAAACAACAGTTTCTGACTGCCACTGGTTACTTTTCAGGGTCTGAAAGTTTTAAAACCAAAATACCTAAATGTATGTACCAAGGAGTTCAACTTGAATGCCTCAGGGTACCAAGATACATTTACTAAGCAATCTCTGGACATGTGACCTCTTTTTTCCGTAATGTATACACTGTATTCATGGGTCTTTGTAAATTACATTAATGATATGAAGAAAAGTCATTTTAGAGAGGTTGTTATTCGACCTTTCCACCCGAAAATCACTGTCATATGTCGCATCTGTCAGGAAGTCATTCATAGAAGGTCAGATCAATGTAAAATTGTTCCTTGCACAAAAAAATTTCATATTTAAAACGAAGTCCTTATTGGGAGGGGTTGTATCCACCAGAGACTACTGTAATAATTTAGGTTAAACATAATATTAAAGGACAACAAGGAACTTTTTGATCCATCTCTCCACCAAATTAAACTAAACACTAAAAAATGCAAAGTCAGCCCTTATCACTGAAATGTTTATCATGCTTTCCTTTAAATTCTTTTAAAGGAACTGCATCTGTTCCAAAGGTCAACCACCCTGTTAGAATTTTATAAAGCTGTCTTGGCTGAAGATGGCTCATATCCTGTCCAAATTTCTACTTGTGTCCATAAGTCTACCCATTTTCACATTAAATACGAAGACAGATAATCCATCAATACTATCAAATCTCTTAAACTTTAAACATCTCAATCACATCCCTTCTACTCTTCTTTTTTTTTCTAGAGAAAACAAGTTCAAAGATTTTAACCTACCCTTGCATGACAACTTTTCCATCCTGGGTATCATCCTAGTAGCCCTTCTCAGAACCCTTTCCAACAATTCAATATCCTTTCTGAGATAAAGAGCCAAAGACTGAACACAGTACTCCAAATGTGGTTTAACCAGTGACCTATACAAGGCATTATAACCTCCTTAGACTTGAACTCCATATTTCTATAGATATAGCCTAAAATCCTCCTTGCCTGTTGCAAGAAATAGCAAATTGCTTGAATGGCTAAAGAGACTGATCAACCAGAACACCAAGATCGTTTTCTTCCATAACACTGTTAAGATTATTCCCCTCAAAATTATACTCATAATTCAAACTGTAATATCCCACATGCATTATATTTCACTTATTAAAAGTCATGTGGCATTTATTTGACCAACTCACTAAATAATCCAAGTCCTTTTGTAAAGCAGTAGCTTTCTTTACTTTTAGGCTTGGTAGGTATTTAGGTTAATAATATATCTCATTCCCCGGGGGGGATTGAAATATAACCAGGGTCGGTCAGAAACATTTGTTTCTCTTCACCCCACTAGCATCCTCCTCACAGTCTTAAAAATCATTAGACAAGGTATTCAAAAGTATGAGCCAAATAAAAGCATAAGTAAGCATAATAATAATAAATAAAGCTTACAATTTAAATGCATTTAGTGTAATACAGCATTCATCCTTTATCACAATTTAACTATTTCACAATATACAAATATTTACATAAAATTTACCTTTTAGCATATGTGTAGTCAGTTTTTATTTCGTTTCTGTAATGAAAGAAAATATTATATAATACATACTTGAAATATTTCAAAAACTCTTAAACTTCCAAGTAAAAAGTACTGTGAAAATGATACAATGATAATGCTCATTATTTATTATTAAAAGAAATACATTCAAAATATTATTTGCTTTGCTATCAAATACATGTACTAAATACTATTATTTTGATACATGATTTCAATATTTCTGAAAATGGATGTGCAAAATAACATACTAGGTGAAGTAAATATTATTCAAGCCATATTTATTAATATAAAAAAGCATAGTGAGTAGTTACAAATGATGCACGTCTTTTTACCAATGATGTTCAAACTGTTGCAGTTAACATTTGTAGCATTATTTTTAAATTTTTAAGGTATCGTGTCTTGTACTATTAGCAAAATAACAAAGTTTAAATAAACTAAAAGTCTTAAAATTTATATTTTGCTCATTTCTTTTCTTTGTACCACCTACAAAAGTTATACTTTCTGAACAAACTATTGCTAACAAAAAACAAGAGTAATGAGTTCTCTGAATAACACAGTAATAATATACAACATATCTCATATTTTCTATTACTTCTGTTACCTTCTTTTAACCTAATTTTTGGAGTTACAAATATATTAATTGTTAACTCCCATTATACTGCAAGTCAAAGGATTTAGTAACTGTTTAATGAACTGAACAAATCTGCTTATGAAACAGCATGTTAATTTTAAAAAAATAAACTTACTCTCTGTCACTATCACTAAACCCACTAGAATAGTCACTGTAAGATTGGTGGCCAAAATACTTCTTTGTTTTTTTGGTCACATTTTTGCTTGATTTTGTCACAGATGTATTTGTTGCAGATGAGCTTAGAGATGAAGCAGTTCGTATTTTACCAACCAAAACTTTGTCTTGAGATTCAACAATCTTGGGAGTTGATGTGCTTTGATTATTTGTCCTGATCACCTAATTGTGTTTGAATAATAGAAATCTATACTCAGTCTTTCTTATATTGCATATTTATTAAATACACAAACAACTTTATCATAACATTCACTTCAACAAAATTAAAAATGCATTACAACTCACTAATATCAAGGATTTTTTAAAGATATTTCCAAGTTCAACATACTAAACTTTAGTAATTTTCTAAAAATTCAACTGTTCACTAAAGAGATCTGCATAACAGCATTCTTGTTTCAGAAATCGTTTATCTGTGTGTGTGTGTGTGTGTGTGTGTGTGTGTGTGTGTGTGTGTGTGTGTGTATGTGTATTTGTTTTATTTTGGATTTATTCCACAAGAGTTCTAAAATAACAAAAGTAATACATTTGGATAGAAATTTGTCCTTAACTTTTTTACATTTTTCTATTGTTAAGTACCATCAGTAAGGATAATGATGTAACGACAAGATAAAAACTATATACTTATTGTCTTAGGAAGTTCTTTAATAATAATAAAAAAGATAAATAAAATTCCTGGATTTCTTTGTCATTACCTATTAGTAAAGTTCACTCTTTAAAAAAATATATACTAAGTGTAAAGCTGATTAATCACGTTATCAAATTGTATTTATAAATTGTCAAATAAACCTTCAATAAATGTATCTGATGACTATTTTACAAACCATTGATAAAATGTCAAAGATGAGTTATATTATTAGTTCAAAATTATATATTATTCAATTCGAATTATTTTTATATTTTGGCTTTAAGGATAAAATCTATTATTACCAGAAATAAATGTATTTTTTTTAAAAAGATCAGGAAAAAAAAAACAAGTGTTAATGCCAACATGTTTAATATTCACACTTCAGATAAGAAGCAATAAGTGGCCTAATACATGAAAAGTTAATTTCATATGTGTAAAATGTTAACAATTTTCAAAATTATGTAACCTTTTTCTCTGCAACTACTCCCAATTTTGGCAATTCTTTAACATTATGGAACTTCTCTTCCCTTTCATTAGTTGCTCTGGTATAAGTTAGTGCTGATTGGTTGTAACGATGTTCATGATGGACACTTGATGAATGACTGCTGCTATGGCTATGTCGATGACCAACCTTCCTACAGGTAAAAATAACATATTACTACGATAATATTTATAACCGAGTTTTATTTAGTTCTTCATTTAAGAATTTTATTTAGGTCTATCCTTTTAAAAGGTGAAATAGACATCAAAGACCTACTTGATACCACTGTTGTACTTTAATTTACTTATGACAATTTCATTCTGAACTGCAAAAATAATTTACATCTAATAAAAGGAAGATAAAAATAATAAACAGATTGAAGGGTTACTTAATTTAGGAGTTTTAATCAGAGTACATCAAATGGACCACTTATAAGTTTTGTTTTTTAAATGATGATACATCAAGTCTAAATGTAATTTTTAGTGTTCATGAAAATTACTAGCACTATCTAAAGAAAAATCCCCAAATATTTTTCACTGTGGTATCTCTTGTTTATTAGAGCATAATTGTATAATAAGCCAGAGTTTGCAAACAAAATTAGGAATGGTGTGTACATTTTTGGTTTTCTTATTTAAGAAAGGATACTGACTTATTGGAAATGATTAAGAGAAGGGTTAAGTCCGAAACTATTTTCACATTCTTTGAGTCCTAACTTGAACTTTGTTTCTGGGATTTTAATGGCAGATTCAGAACTTCATGTTTTTTTCAGGAATGAAGCTCTGCAGTTGCACAACGCATCACTAATTTCTTACCATTTCATTTTTCTTCTTTCTCTCAATTCAACCAATCAGTGTATGTGTTTAAAGGCAATACAATTAAGTGGTTGTTGATATTGTGCTCATTAGCATACACTTGTTCCTATGAAAGAAAATATACATTTCCCAGTACAAACAGTAGTGAAATTAGTTTAAGCACACCTGGCTCCAGTTTTTGGGCTGGCTCCTAGATCTGAAAATATCAGTCAATGCCTGGGTTCATAGGATGATTCCCGAGATGAAAGCATTATCTTACAAGGATCTCTTAAGATCTCTTATTTTCTCCTGAAAAAAAAAGAGAAGAGAGCGAGAAGTGATCTTATTTAAACTTCCAAGATTATCTAGGAGACTGGTAGGATAAAGGCCTCTGATTTCTTTGTGCTGTATTCTAAAAATAATAGAATGAGAGGACACATTTAAGATTTGGAAAAGAAAGAATAGACTCCAATTAAGATTTTTTTTTTTTTTTAACTAGAGTGACTGACTTAGGGAAGGAGTTACTGCTAGCAATAGTAGAAGCCAGCATGTTACAGGAAAGCATAAAAGGATTTGATGATTTCCTGATAGAATAAGGGTTGGGTCTAAATTTTTACTTCCCTGGAGGGTGGATGTGCTAGGAAAGCCTTGAAAGACCAAATAGCCCCTTATTGTCCATAGGAGTTTTAGCATCTTTAAAAGAGTTTTAATTGTTAATATCATTAACTTAAATAATCAAATAAATAAAGCCATTGTTTACTGATATTACATTGTATCAGGATGTACTGTAAATATAATGTAGGTAAAGGAACAATCAGTCTAATTTTTACTAAAGAAAATGGTTATTTCAATTTTAAACACATAATCATACAAGTCAAGAATAAAACTTACAAGAGAGTTGGTCAGTTTAACATTAACCTTGGTATTTTGAGTAACATTACTATACAAAAAATACATCATACAGCAGAAATTTCTAAATATGCTTAAGAATAATTTATAAACATTGGAGGATTTAAATTTGGCTTATAAAAGACTTATAACAAGTTATTCATAGCTAGACAGGATAAATATGACTCAAAAAGCTGAGAGTTCACCAATAAGGTTTAACATAAGTGTTGGTGAATACTGGAGAATCAGGGCTATATTTAGTACTTAGTGTTTTTGTTTGCAATTTAAGGGAGGATGGGAGTCAAGACACCCTTGATGGGCCAAAAGGCTATTTGATGACTTAATCTGTAATTATAATTCTTCACTTAAAAGGCATCTGGAAGGTTGGAATATGATTCTCACAAATTTGTTGGCCTTCTGTCACCTCATCTTTCTTACATCAAGATATACAGCCAACACAACCTGTAGGACATACTGGGTGTTATTAACAGGAGTGATAGTTTAGCAATTTTCCACTTTTTTGTAGCTCAGACTGTAGTATTCCAAACTGTCACATATTTTCAGTGGACATGTTCTACTGGACCCTTACTTCATATACCAAATTTTAAGGAAATCCATTATGAAATACACGAGATATAAAATCTCCAATTCTGATTGAATTTTTTTTTCCTCTTCACACCAAAAGTATGGAAACTTTATTTGTTAGAAAAAACATACTTAACTTTTAAGAACTGTTTTCAAATTTGGTCTAAATATAAGCCCCATGTGCAACAATATTCAACAAAAACCACTCAAATTTGACCAAAATGTTTTTTGCACACCTACACAAAAAGTCACGTGAGCTATCGGTCTACAATTTTTACTACAGCTTCACAAAAGAGTAAATGTAGACCATTTTTAGTTTTTGTCACTCGGATTAAAGACTGCTGATTTTGAGCAGTGAAACTATAGGGTGAAAGGACGTGCAGATACATAAGTATTCGTTAGGCCAAGCAAACTAGATCAGCAGTTTCTAGCTCAAGTTTTCAAAAGAATCATATGGGTGGACAGTTATTATTCATTACTCGCTACCAACTTTTAAGCACAACTTTGCTAAATTTTATTAAATTATCCTAATTAAAGACCATTTAGCATCGTGTGATATTAGCTTAAGCAATTAGCATAAATAATGATACTTGATTCGGCTGTACCGAGTGCATGCGGGTGATGACAAGAAACTAATAATCTACTCTGATTTGCAATGATATATATATATATATATATAATGATAATGTACCAACAGATGCCTCCATCTGAAAGAAGAAATGAAGTAATTTTTCACAATCTCTTCCAGAAATACCACTCCTTTTCAGCAAAAACATATTAAGAGGTTTCAGTCTATCCCCCATACAATAAACCCTCTAAACCTAGTATCATCCCAACAGTTCTACTCCGAACTCTCTCCAACAGTTCAACACCCTTTCTCAAATAACATGGCCAAAACTGAACACCATATTTCAAATGAGGTATAACCAGAATCTTTTATATAGTGAACTAATGACCTTCATTTACTAAACATTTCTATGTATAAAATCTAAAGCCCTGTTCACCTTATTGCTTACTAACATATATTGTCTAGAGGCCTTTAGAGATTTTCTAATAGCTATGCCCGTCTTGTTCCTCATCAACTTCACCCACAGTTATTCCTAACAAGTGAAATAAATAAATAATGTTGTGATAACAAATACACATAACAGCGACAAATATTACTTCATTATGAGTGAAAGACATCTGCTAAATTTATAACCAACTCACTAAACAGTACAACTCTCTCTCTGGAAACTACAGTGTGATCAGTACAATTTCAAATATCTGTACATTTAAGTTCACCTGCAAACTTACCTATATACTTTCGATGACGAAGAACCCACTTTGAGACTAATAATGGCTGGAAACCGCTTGAATGGGTAATGAAGAAAAACTTTAAGATAAGTTTAACACAAGATTACCCATTCAAGCCGTCTCCAGCCATTATTACCTATACACTGTTTATTCCTTAATAAATGTCATTAATCAAAATAATATACTACCATTAGCTTCTAATCAAATAAAGGTACCTATATAGATCAAAATAAAAATTAACCCAGTAATGAATATAGCTATTTTAATAATGATTACAATGAAAAATATCTAACACAAAATTCTTAAGTAGACTGCTCGTAACATTAAGCTACTGTGACATAATCCCTTTAACAACAAACTTCTGCCTTCAAACACCCAACTTTCAATTTATTTAACTAGTTTATCTCCTATCCCAAACAGATTAATATTTCCAAAGAAGTCTTATTTGCAGTACACACCTTATCAAATGTTTTCTGAAAGTCAAAAGTACACAAAATCCACTGTATTACCCCCTTTTTAAATTAAATCTACATTTTTAAGATTTAGAAAATTCACAAGAGAGAGATGAACCTTTCTGAGTTAAGGCTGACTCTTGGTGATAGTATACAAAACTTTTCTAAATGTTCTTTTAGGATTTTTCTAATTATAGATCAGTAATCTCTCAGCTACTAACTACCAGCTGGTGTACCCCCCCCCCCACTTTAAAAATTGGTGTGACATTGAATATCCTCTACTATTCTGCCATCTAATCTCAAATAAATGATTTATTTGAAATTGTGGTAATAGTTCATGAATCTGTTCTTTGTATCCTTCTTTATCCAAGTATAAATAATGAAACTGTGAGAACGTACTCAAAGATTGTAGGACATTATCTCCATAACTAAACTACATAAAATATTAGTAATTATCACCTAGTTTTGCTTTTCATATACATCAACAGCTTTTTAAAATTGAGATTGTTTTATTTAAGAAATACTTTTCATTTTTACGTCCATCAATATTTTTGTTTTTATTTGTAAAAGTTATAAAACTTGCTTAATTTATAGCATTATTATTTGAAAATAAACAATTTTTAACGGTGGGGATAATTTCCAATTAATATTATGGACTTTAGTTTAGGGTTAATGTCTATTGGAATAATTGTCTATGAGAATAATGTCTTTACCTCATTTTCATAACAATTTTCCCAAGAAATTAAAATTGCATTGCCATCATTGACATTAGGCTAGATATAGCTGATGACTGGCGACGATTTGAATGAAACTTGACGTTCTAAACTGCATTTATATATGAAATATTCAAAGAAATTAAAACTGGTTTAATAACATTAAATACATAATTCATAAAAATGAAAAGGGTTAACAACAAGTTGTGTTATATTACATCGCGGAAAAAATATAAAAAACAAGAGAAATTTTCTTTCCTCACGGACTCAAATTAATTCTTCAGGCATAGTGTCAACGTACAACGATGCTGTAGACCTATTAAATGTTAGATACACTAGGCGCGAATTTTATGCTAAGCACACTAACTATTAATAATTGTCATTTTCTTTCTCATCATCCAGCTCAACTGATATTCAACGAGAAGATTC